ACTGCGATGCTTCAAGTGTCAAAAGTATGGTCATGTAGCGGTAAGTTGCAAAGGCCAACAAAGAAGAAGTGCAGGTGAGCACGAGCACAGCAAATGTGAAGAAGGGGCTAAGCTAAAGTGTTGCAACTGTGGAGGGGAGCATAGTTCTGCTTATCGAGGATGTGAAATGAGCAAGACAGTTGCTGAGGTGCAGAGAGTTAAAATCTCCCAGGGGATTTCATATGCAGAGGCAGCAAAAAAAGTAAAGACAGTGCAGACAGTTGCCTCTAAACCAGTGTGAGTAGAGAGTAACAGCAGACCTTGTGGAGGATGTGTTAAACCAGACATGAAGGAGGATACACTGATTGTGGGCAAAAATGAATTTTTGTGGTGTTTATGGTTGAGGTGATTAATTGTTCGGCACAAGCAAGCAGGAAAACCGAAAAGATTAAGATTATTGTGAGAGCAGCTGAGAAATATCTTGGACTTGAGGGGATAAGCTGGGAAGCAGTGGAGGAAATGTTAGCTGGGGAAACATTTAACTCTCTGACATGGGCTGGTGGATCTTCATGGTCTTAATTATTTTACAGTGGAATGCAATAAGTCTCATCTCTAATGGACAAGAATTTAAAAAGTTTGTATCAAACTTATCAGACAGACCTCATGTGATACGTATTCAAGCAACATGGTTAAAACCACAGTGGGATTTTGTTATGTATGGTTACACTGCAATAAGAAATGATGGGGAAACCAGGAAAGGTGGAGGAGTGGCAACATTTAAGTTTCAAGTTTATTCACACATCAACAAAAAGTACAGCTGCACACACATTTGTGAGGAATGGGTTGAATTATAATCTAATTAAAATAGGAAAGGTGCAAGAATCCATTGTAATTAAGGTATGGACAGAAAAGAGCAGCTTAACAATAGTCAATTACTATAGCCCATGTAATAGACTGAGTACTGATATATTGAATGATGCAAGTGGGCTGATAAGGGAAAGTAGTATGTGTAGGGACTTTAATGCTCACAGTACATTATGAGGGAGCAATAATACAGATGCAAATGGGTCAGTAATAGAGGAGTTTATAGATAATATGGGTTTGGTATGTATAAATCTTTTATGGAGTGGTCTGCTGGGGCAGCAGTGTCTCGGCTGCAGATAGGAAAAGACTGGACAAGCTGATCAAGAAGGCCAGCTCTGTCCTGGGATGCTCTCTGGACTCTGTGCAGGTGGTGGGAGAAAGGAGGAGGACAGCCAAGCTGTCGTCTCTGAGGACTAATGACTCCCATCCTCTGCAGGAGGAGATAAAAGCTCTGGAGAGCTCCTTCAGCGATAGACTGATTCACCCAAAGTGTGTGAAGGAACGCTATCGCAGGTCCTTCCTGCCTGCTGCTGTCAGGCTACATAACCAGCACTGCTCACAGTAGACTGCACCATGGACACTTTAGGGACACTTTATTGACACTTAATTGACACCACAGCTGTCTGCTGTTTTGCACATACAATCACTTGCACTAGATGTGCTCCCTTTATCCACTGCTCATTTTTTGCTCATTTTCATTCACTGCTGCTCATTATTATCCACATCCTATTATTTTCATTATTATTATTATTATTATTGTTATTGTTATTGTTATTTATCGCCATCTCTTGTATTTTTGTACTTATTTGCACGCCTAGTTAGTTAAGTTTTTTAAGTTTAATTTTGAAATCTTTAATCTGACTCTTTCCCCTTGACTGCTGTAACACTGGAATTTCTCAATTATGGGATCAGTAAAGGTGTATCTTATCTTGTCTTATCTTATCTTAAATGATGGAAAGGGCACAAGGTAGAATAGTTCACAGAACACAAGTGTAATTGATCTGACACTCACATCCACCATAATTGCAGATGTTAGTATTTGGGAAGTGTTAAACCGGTCAACAGTAGACAGTGATCATTATTCAATAATGTTCAAGATTGGAATAGAAATACACCAAGATGGGGGAGCAAGAACACCAAGATGGATAAAGCAGATTGGGATGCATTCCAAATATTAAGTAAAGCCAGGTGTATTAAATTACTGGAAGAGAATGTAACAAATGTAGAGGAAATGAACAGGAAATTGATAACAGCGTTGATACAGACAGCAGAAGAAACTATTCCGAAGAGTAGAGGAAGTAAACAAGGAAAGAGTGTGCCGTGGTGGAATGACAATTGTAGAAAAGCAATAAAAATGAGAAATAGAGCATTTAGACAATTGAAGCTCACCACACACTAGACACATTGATCCAATACAAAACAGTACAAGCATTAGTTCCAAAAACAATAAGATCAGCAAAACAGACATACTGGAGACAATACTGCAATAACATTGGGAGAGAAACACAGTTGGCAGATGTATAGGGACTGATTAGAAAAATGAATGGGATTAAAAAGTAACTTTGACATACCAGTGATGCATAGCGATAACATGACAGCAATAAGTACTGTAGAAAAGCTCCTAGCGAAGATGTTTATGAAGGTTCACAGCTCAGATAATTTATCTATAAAAGCTAAGCAGTGTAGAGATAATACCCGTATACAAAATATAGGAATTACAGAAAGAAGGGCATCATCAGGAGAAGACCTAGATTTACCGTTCACTCGATTTGAAATGAAGAGAGCAATATTAAATGCACGACAAACGTCACCAGGGAAAGATGGTGTATGCTACAGTATGTTAGCTCATATGACAGACAGTGCGCTTGAAGCAGTGTTAAGACTGTTTAATAAAATATGGCACACAGGTAATCTCCCATCAATATGGAAGGAATCAGTTATAGTACCTATACTAAAACCAGGTAAAGACTCATCAAATCCCTCTAGTTACAGACCCATCGCTCTAACATTGCAGTTAGGGAAAACTTTGGAACGGATGGTGACAGAGAGACAAACAGACTTTTTAGAGAGTAAAAAACTATTGTCAAATTATCAAAGTGGATTTCGTAGGGGAAGAGGGATGTTGGATAGTGTCTTATGTCTAGAATCAGAAATAAGGAAAGCTCAGACCAACAGAGAAATGGTGATTGCTGTATTTTTTTGATATTGAGAAAGCGTACAATATGTTATGGAAAGAGGGACTACTCATCAAACTCAATAAATTAGGTGTGAATGGGAAACTGTACAACTGGGTATCAGAGTTCATGTATGGGAGAACAATAGAAGTTAAACTATCAGTTGCAAAGACACAAGGAATATGTTTTTCCAGACATCACAAAGAGATCTCCTTGAAACTGTATGGCCAAACAATTGAGCAGGTCAGGGTCATTAGATTACTGGGTATGTGGCTGGATGAAAAGTTGACTTGGAAGTATCACATTGATAAAATAAGTGATAAGTGCAAACGGGTCAACAATCTCTTAAGATGCTTGTCAGGAAGAGACTGGGGAGCAACCAGAGTATCACTGTTAAATATATATCAGACTATTATGAGAGCAACACTAGACTATGGGTGTATAGGGTATTTATCAGCAGCAGAAAGTCATCTTAAAAAGTTGGATGTACAGCAGGCACAGGGACTGAGGATATGTAGTGGAGCATTTAAATCCTCTCCAGTAGCAGCCATACAAGTGGAAATGGGGGGACAAACTTTACGGATCAGAAGAATGAAACTTATGTTAGCATACTGGGTCAGTCTTCAAGGGCATAGTATTTCCCACCCTGCTAAAGCCATCCTGGAGGACTGTTGGGAACATAATGACTCTAATTTTATGAGCTTTGGATAGGGATAGGGAACATAAAGGCAGAACAAGCAGGTTTGGGTCATATACAATTCAGTCCAACAATCCCTTATTCAAATACTTTTCCCTGGCTATTTGTAGAACCATCAGGAAACCTAGAAATACAGCAACAACTGAAGAAAAGGAGTAAGCAAGTCTCTCCTGGGAGGGTAGCTCAGGGTTATCTGGAACAACACTTCTCAGACAAAACAATGATTTTCACTGATGGGTCAAAAGACCCTGATACTGGACGAACAGGAGCTGCAGTTTTCATTACATATCAAGAAAAGAACCACAGATCATTTATCAGTATATACAGTGGAGCTTTCAGCTATTAAATTAGGTTTGGAGTGGACAGAAGAAAACAACCATAACAACACACTAACAGCATCAGACAGCTGGGCAGCACTTACAAGTATCAAAACCATGAAGTCATGTAGGCAAGGTGTCATAATTGAAATACACAATCTGCTGTACAGAATACACAAGAGGGGTCTGATGGTCTGCTTTATTTGGGTTCCTGCCCATGTAGGAATAGAAGGAAATGTAGGGGTTGATATTCTGGACAAACAATCACTTAAATCACACACTGTAAATGCAGAAATTCTGCTAAGTAGGGCAGAGGGTAAATCAATAATTAAGAAACATGCGAGAAAAGTATGGCAAGAACACTGGGACATCCAAGATACGGGAAGACACGTATATAATATACAGAAACAGGTTGGGTTGGGAAGAAGGATGGGCAGGGGCCGGATGGAAGAGGCAGTCATCACACGACTTAGGATAGGGCACACAGGACTGAATAATACACTACATAAAATAGGTAAACACCCTGATGGCAAATGTAATCACTGTGGTCAGTCTGAATCTGTCCAGCATGTTGTGTAGAGCATATGAAGAGGAAAGGAGGGCACTGATAACAGCAGCAGAGAAGGCCAAGATATGTTTATCTCAAGGCAATTGAATCGAATTGAATCGAACGCAACTGGACTTGGTTTTGTTTAGATATAAACAGATATGTTTAAGTAGCCTATAGGGAACCTGCCCAGAGTAGAGTCAAATAATATACTCAAACATCTAATCATGTATCTAAAAGATACAAGGCTGATGGAGAGGAATTAATTTCCCTTTTTTTGTTTTGTTTGTCTGCAAATCCACTGTCCCCGTCTCCAGTCCAGTAGGTGGCGGTAATGCGCCTTTAACTTGGTTGCCAACCGCCAAAAAAACTCCATAGAAGAAGAAACAGAAGCAGAAGAAGAAGAAGAAGAACGTGACAGTTGTTATTTATGCCGGTTTGACCGTGTTTAGTTCGGTTAGCAGAGCGAATTAACGTCCACTGATCTAAATAACGTCAGAAAAACAAACCGTCAGAGTTAATTAACAGGAGCAGAGATGGACCGACACCAGAAACTGCTGCCTGACGTCACGGACGCGGGTTTAAACCCGAGAGGAATAAGAAAAGGTTTGTTTTCCTTTTGCTAAATGTTGCTAAGCTAACGTTAGACGGTTAGCTGATTAGCCGCAGCTAGCTTCAGTTTGACTGTGTGTTTACTCAAGTTACAGTTTTAAAGAAATTTTACTTTATATTACTACTACTGTGTTTAATACCGCAGTACAAATACTGCACTACTCATCTGAGAGTCAGCTGTCTCCTGTCCTCTGTCAGATAATGTCCTGCTCTAGTTTGGAGGACATGAGACAGCGGTCTCCTGTCCTCTGTCAGATAATGTCCTGTCCTCTGTCAAATAATGTCCTGCTCTCGTTTGGAGAACATGAGACAGTGTCTCCTGTCCTCTGTCAGATAATGTCCTGCTCTCATTTGGAGAATGTGAGACAGTGTCTTCTGTCCTCTGTCAGATAATGTTCTGCTCTAGTTTGGAGAACGTGAGACAGCTGTCTCCTGTCTTTTGTCAGATAATGTCCCGCTCTATTCTCATATGGCTGTAAATCACGTGTCATGTCCACATCCTCCTTCTGTGGTAAAACATCCTAAATAAATAAATAATTCAATTTTACTTTCAGGTGGTGTGGTGAAAGAGGAGCAGCAGGAGTTGAGCTGCTGTGTGGACCAGGAGGACCCTGAGCCCCCACACATTAAAGAGGAAGAGGAGGGAGAGCAGCTTCACCAGCTGGAGGAGGCTGATATCACCAAGTTACCATTCACTCCTGTCGCTGTGAAGAGTGAAGATGATGAAAAGAAACCTCCGTCTTCCCAGCTTCATCAAACAGAGGCTGATGGAGAGAATTGTGAAGGACCAGAACCAACCAGGAACTCAGATCCAGACCCAGATTTAGAACCAGAGACTGAAGACAGGTGTGGAGACTCATCTGAGGCGGAGACTGATGACAGTGATGATTGGACAGAGAGCAGAGAAGCTCCTGTCAGTGATTCATCATGTAGAGCTGGAGAGAAACCATTCATCTGCTCTGAGTGTGGGAACACATTTGGTCGTAAGGACAATCTGCAGCAACACATGAAAACTCATACTGGAGAGAAACTGTTCAGCTGCTCTGAGTGTGGGAAAAGATTTTGCACAAAAGCAAAGTTGAAGATTCACATGAGAACTCATACTGGAGAGAAACCGTTCAGCTGCTCCGTCTGTAAGAAATGTTTCACACAGAGAGGGAATCTACAGACACACATGAAGAATCACTCAGGAGAGAAACCGTTCAGGTGCTCCATTTGTGATAAAAAATATGTGTGTAAAGCTGATCTAATGAGACACATGAAAACTCATACAGGAGAGAAACCATTTGTTTGCTCAGTTTGTACTAAAACATTTATGGACAGAACAAACCTGATGCAGCACATGAGTATTCACACAGGAGAGAAAAGATTCCGCTGCAGTTTTTGTCACCAAAGATTCATTTGGTATAATCAGCTGCAAAGACATAAATGTGCTGGTCCCCAGTCGTCACAGTGTCATCAGACTCAAAATGAGGAGGATAGAGGGGCGGAGCCTCAAGCCAGCAGGTCAGGAGCTGATGGAGAGCACTGTGGAGGACCAGAACCAACCAGGATCTCAGATCCAGATTTACAACCAGACACTGAAGACAAGACTGGAGACTCATCTGAAGTGGAGACTGATGACGGTGATGATTGGATGGAGAGCAAAGAAGCTCAGTCAGGTTTAAAGTCTCCTATCGGTGATTCATCGTGTAGAATAGGAGAGAAACCGTTCAGCTGCTCTGAATGTGGGAACAGATTTGGCCAGCAGATAGATCTGAAGATACACAGGAGATGCAGTCATCCACGAGAGAAACCGTTCAGCTGCACTGTTTGTCAGAAAAGTTTCACAGAGAAATGGCATTTACAGAGACACGAGAGAATTCACTCAGGAGACAAAAGATACAGCTGCTCTATTTGTCTACAGAAGTTCACGTGGCGTCGTGAGCTGAAAAAGCATCCATGTGAAGGACCGAAACCCGCCAGGAGCCGAGTCCTGCTGCCACGCCCCCCCACTGATCAGCCCGTACTATTTGTGTACCTGTAGGTAGTCAGTACTTCTGCTGACATGAGTGAGGTACTGAGAGCTAATATCAGACTCGTGTTTATGATGACATGGGATTCATGTTTGTATATTTAGACTGAACTTTACAGAGCACTTGATTCCTGTGTTGAGATGATGTCTCATGTTCAGTGTGACTAACTCTGTATTAACTTCAACTTCTCTTAGATATTGGCCTGCACAATATTAATAATAATTACACATAATTTGTAATAAAAGATTCACTCAGGAACAGAAACATTTTAGGACTGAAAAATACTCTGTTACAGCAATACAGACTAAAAATGAAACATGTTAAGTGATCAATCAGTCAATCTTTATTTATAAAGCACTCTTCATATAGGGATGTAGCACAAAGTGCTTTACATGGTCAAAAAGGAATGCATGAGCCATCTGCACCGGGAGCTGATCACAGCCCGTGGCTACCAGGACGCTGACACGGAAACCACCCCGATACGGGCAGACAGATGAGCCCACACCACCGCCATAAGGGCAGAGTGCAGACCCCCCACCCAACCCAGCCAAAGCAACCCATGAGGCAGCGCAGTAAAATATAATGTTGAACGCTAAACAATAGATAGGACATAAAAATAACAATTAAAACATCAGTAAAAGACTAAGAATGGCAATATAATATCAATGAAAAACTGAGAATGACATTAAAACATTGGTAACGGACTAAAAATGACATTTTAACATCAGTAAAAGACTAAGAATGGCATTAAAACCTAAGTAAAAGTCTTGATGACAATAAAACATCAACAGACTAAGAAAATATTAGTTAAAGGCTCAAATAAATAGGTAGGTCTTGAGCCTGCTCTTAAAAATATCAACATTCTCTGCAGCCCTCAGGTCCTCCGGCAGGCTATTCCACAAACAGGGGCCATAATACTGAAAAGGTGCCTCACCGTGAGTACCTGTTCTAACTTTAGGAGTAATTAAGAGGCCAGTGCCGGAGGACCTCAGGGTCTGCGAGGGTTCGTAGGGTGTAAGCAAGCCAAAACCATTAAGACATTTAAAAAACATTAAAAGAACCTTAAAAATCAATCCTGAAACATACGGGGAGCCAGTGCAGTGATTTTAAAAGAGGTGTAATGTGAGCCTGACTTCTGGTCTTTGTCAGTACACATGCAGCTGAGTTCTGTAAAAGTTGTAGGCCTGAGATACTTTTTTGGGAATAGCAGAAAGCAGGGCATTACAGTAATCAATACGACTGGAGATAAAAGCATGCATCAGCGTCTCCATGTTAGACCCGAGAGAGAAAAGGGCGGACTCTGGCTATGTTTTTTAGATGATAAAAACCTGTTTTTGTTACATGCTTAATGTGAGAAATAAGAGTAAGCTCAGAGTCAAAAATGACGCCTAGGATTTTAACCAACTGATGATTAAAACTTCAGTTTTGTCCTGGTTGAGTTGTAAAAAGTTTTCTGCCATTCAGGATTTGATGTCCAAGATACAGTTAAAAAGGGCATCAACTGGCCCTGTGTCATCAGGGGACATGGAGATGTACAGCTGTGTATTATGAGCTTAACTGTGGAAGTTAATACCATGTCTCCTGATGACACAACCAATTGGGAGCATGTACAAATAAAAAAGCAGGGGACCTAAAATTGAGCCTTGGGGCACACCACATTTAATTTCATGGATCTCTGAGGAGTATGTATCCATACTTACCAAAAATGTTCTATCTGTGAGATAGGAAGGGAACCAAATAAGAACAGTACCAGTCTGTTTAAAAGAATAGGGTGATCTACTGTGTCGAAAGCAGCTCTTAGATCCAGTAGCACCAGGACTGATAACTTGTGTGAGTCCAAGTTACACCTGAGATCATTGACAATCTTCAGTCGGGCTATCTCTGTTCTGTGATTCATCCTAAATCCAGATTGGTATTTTGGTAAGATGTTATTATTATGTAAAAAATCATAAAGCTGAATAAAAACAAGTTAAATGTTTTTGCTTAGAAAAGGTAAGTTGGATACTGGTCTGTAGTTGTTAAGAACATTAGGGTCCAAATTCCAAATTCTATGAAGCCAGAAGAAAGTAATCAATGAACTAAACTTCATAATTGCCTTAAAGACATAAAAACCTGGATGAGCACCAATTTCCTGATGTTAAATTCAGACAAAACTGAAGTTATTGTTCTTGGCCCCAAACAACTCAGAGACTCTTTATCTGATGACATAGTTTCTCTAGATGGCATTGCTCTGGCCTCTAGCACTACCGTAAGAAACCTCGGAGTAACATTTGATCAAGATTTGTCTTTTAATTCTCATTTAAAACAAACCTCACGGACTGCATTTTTTCATCTG